ACCCCAGTCTATTCTATTCTAGTCTACTCTATTCTGTTCTATCTTATTCCATTCTTCTTGTTTCACTTTCCATGATGCTTCTGATCTTTTATCTGTTGGTATAGTTGACTGTCCGTTTGAAGGACATCTGCACCATGACCAAGGAGAAAACCGCACGGCTCATTCCTAACGCTATTCAAGTTTGCACAGACACTGAAAAGGTACTTTCTTACAATCTTGCCCATTGGACACCGGCAAGAGCAGAAGACTTCTCTGAAGGACAAATCTGGGGGTTGAGGGGAAAAGACCGAAGCTCAGTTAAATTCTCACAGTCAAGTAGATCAACCATGACCCAAAGATCAGCTCGTCTAGGAACATGCATGTTTTTTTTAAAAAAAAAAACAGCGGAAAATGGCTTAGAGCTCCTGTAGGAGGACCTTCTGACCTTCTCTGGTCTCGTTGCTTCCGCCAGTTAAAGAAGTTTTTTTTCCCCCAAAGGTTAGGGATAAAGCAAAACCTTGCAAAACTTGTTTACCGGTAGCAAAATCAGGGTACCTTCTGGGCATGGCCAGCAAAACGTGTCTCCACCCTGAAGACTTCCTGCTTATCTTTTATTCCCAAAGCCTTTACATCATCTAGATCAGGAGTGTCAAACTCAATTTCATTGAGGACCGGTGTTCTGATCCAGGGCTTAGCAGAATTAAAAAAAACAGGCTCCTTATCCCGAAAAACCTCTCTTTATTTAGTTACGGTGAATTCATGGCATTCACACAGAGAAAAGTCACAGCAATAATCCTCCTAAGGGTTAATTGCAGGAACACACCTTATCAGTCCTTGGATAGTTGTTGCAGCTTTCAGTCGCAAAGCTGTAAATTCAATACCTGGCAAGGAGTCTCTGTGAAGCACGAACTCTGATTAGCAAATCTTCCAAAAGAAATATGAACTAATGGTCTCCTGCAACCACCACTCCCTTTTTGCTTCTATGTATTCCCCAAGGAGGGGCCATTCAGCGTCCACATGTATCTTTCTTTCCGAATTGGCCCCTGTTCCTTAATTGTCCTCCTCTCCTGACAGCTCTGCGCATACGCGCATCTGGAACAGGCCCCAGCTGTTCTTCTTCCCCACTTATCTCTGACTCCTAAGGCACCTGGGCCGTGTCAAATTGCCTTGGCCCTATCTCTGCTTCTGACATAGCCAGATCAACATTATGGTCACCCTCAAAGGGCCCGGTGGGCGTGGCTGGGTGGTCACATGACTGGGCAGGAATGGACAACTCCACCTGGCCTGCTCAACATTGCTCACATCGAGGGACACCTGTGATGGGCCAGACAAGGCTGGCTCCAGGCCGGCCTTGCGGATCTAAGGCTGATCACGTTCTGGTCTGGTTGGCCACTACTAGGTTATAGATCAGTGCCCGGTCAGCTTGGGCCGGTCTGAGGCTCTGCGGGCTGATCCTTTGCTGTTTCCAGGGCAACTCCGCAGGACAGATCTAACACATCACAGGCTGGATCTGGCCTGTGGGCCTTGAGTTTGACACCCTCGATCTAGATCCTAATCCCTCTTTGAGTGAAAGATGCAGGCTACAAGTCCGTGTTGTTTTATTTCTGAGCAGACGGTGTGGGAAGGTGTTGTCCATCCCGTCGATTGGTCTCCCATCTATTGAGGGAAGATTTGTCTACCTTCCACCAGTTGGCCCTATATTGTTTTGGAAATTTAGAGTGTTGAGCTTGTTACTTTGGTTTGGAAATCTCTTTCCTGAATCTCTGAATAAGAATGGCCAGGGGAAGATTAAAAGAATTGGTATTATCATGGTATTATAATATAAGCAGGGTATTATCATTGGCTGTGTACTGGAAAAGTGGTTGAACTTTAAACCACTTTAAACCACTTTGGAATAAGAATTCTGTTTTTTTCTGACCACCCAGCTGCTAGAAAATTAATTAAAGCAGATAATGTAATAAAAAGCCTTCAGAATGGTGCTCATTATATCTTAAATTCCTTCCTCCCAAGTCTTCCAAAAATAGGTTCTACCCATGCAGTTGGCTTCACCCATTTGCAAGATGCTTCCAAACAGGCCCTGATTGTTTTTAGAATATTGTCATGGAATATTCTTTTAACGACCCTATAATCCTTTGAAAGTCTGAGCAATTGAATGGAGCTTGCAGAGTGTTTTAATGGCCGGATCCCCTTCCTGTCACCAATGCAGAGTTTTGTTCGGCCGATATATTCTCAGTGTGCCCAGAGAGAGAAATATCTGCCTCTACCTAGGATCGAACTCACAGCCTCCTGATTGTGAGGCGAGAGTTCCACCTCTAGGCCACTGTCCTACTCTCGGTATAAATCACTAATTTCTTTGCTACGGTAGAGTTTTCAACCTCCGTATCACGTGCACTGAATCTCTTTCTCTCTGGCTAATGTATTTCAATGCAATCATTTAACAGCTAATTCCTGATTTATCTCATCTCTCCATTTTTATTTTTGCTTTTCCCAGCACTTTTTCACTTCCTTTGGTGCCCGGGATAGGACGTACATGATGATGTTTCGCCTCTGGCAGAATGCCCTCCTTGAAAAGGTAGGAAGTATTGCTTTTTCATCTTTATCAAATGTATTTCTCATAGATTCGGGCTTTCAAAAAAGCAGGTGGACTTTCTTGTGGAAAAGCCCTTTTCCTCTAGGTTAAGTTGGATGGCTGAATTGTGTCCTCATGCGTTGGTTGTCCTATGTTGCGCCGTGCATTTGTGTAGTAGTTGTTTAGTTTTCCCCAATGTACATGTTCAGTTGCCTTTTTGAAAACACCTTTGGGACTCCCTAGAATTGTGGAAGGTCTCCTGGAAGGCCACAGATGGTGGCAGAGGACATGTTGGCCTTCTGACAAAGATCTCTAATAAACCTGTTGACCTATGGCCACCATGTTCAGAGTGTGCCTCTAACACAAGGATGTCCAATAAGGATATCCTGGATGCTGTGTTTTTTAGAATAAGGATACCACTTAAAGTGGCAAAAACATACACACCCTTCTTGGCTAAGTCAGGGATGTCCAATTTTGGCCACTTTAAGATTTGTGGACTTGGAATTCTGGGAGTTGAAGTCCACAAATCTTAAAGTTTCAAGGTTGGACGCTCCTGTTCTAACATGTTCTCAAAATTCCAGTTGGTAGTTGATCTAAGACTGTCTACCCTTGTCTGTGAGCTATGTAAACTAGTTCTTCTTAGTTTTTCATCTGGCTCAAGGGCTAATGACCAGGGTTGACCCTTCAGTATTATCCCCATGGGCCATTTGACACCAGGAAACAAGCTTGTTACCAAATTACAACAGTGCATTGAAAAATTCCAGCCGTAAAATGTAACAGGATTCCGACTGATACGTCCAAATTAGGAAACCTGGTTTGTCCCTTCCAGTCTTCTGTTCTCACCTCTCTTCGTGCTGCTTGGAAGTGATCTGATAACTCCAAAAATTGCTGATAATTTCACCCCAATAACTGCTCGGTTTGTATTCCAAGAATGTATTTTCCCTTCCCTTTCATTCCCCCTTCTAGGGGTTTTAACTTTTTTCACCTGTTAATTTTTGAGAAGGGTATCACCTTTTGCAATAATGGAAGCCTTGTATTCAGTCTGATGCCCTCCAAGGATGAATCAACACATGTACACATGCACGCACATGCACACACACATACACAAATACACAACACAGCTGCAATTCAAATGGTTTTTGTTCCTCGATAATTATGACATGCATTTAAAAACAAAAGGCGGAGGAGGAAAAGCTGAAACTGCAGATCCATTCTGGGTAGCTTCCTGAAAGTGAGTGGGTCCCAATGTCATGTTGCCATGCTGTGAACATATTTTTTTTCTTCTTCTTTGCAAGCCTGCAAATCCACACACTTCACAACATCCATTTGGGTAGCCCTGTCCCAAAGGTGCTTTTTTCAAGAGGCAACTAGACATCTTCAAAGAAAAATTAGAAAGTCCAGTGTCCTCTTGAAAAAAGCAAAACTGTGACCTGGATGACTGAGAAGCTTCATCGACATTTAGGTAGCCATCTTCTTAAAATTCTTATGAATGAAGTATCAGAGATGCTGTCAATTGCTTTCCATGCGGGATACCGATTCATAGAATGGAATGGAACGGAATGGAACGGATTGGAATGGAATAGAATAGAATAGAATAGAATAGAATAGAATAGAAAAGCAGAGTTGGAAGGGACCTTGGAGGTCTTCTAGTCCAAGCAGTAAACTCTGCACAATTTTAGAGAAATCCAATCTCTACTGAAAAACTTCCAGTGTCGGAACATTCACAACTTCTGGAGGCAAGTTGTTCCACTGATTAATTGTTCTGACTGTTAGGAAATTTCTTCTTAGTTCTAGGTTGCTTCTCTCCTTGATGAGTTTCCATTCATTGATTCTTGTCCTGCCTTCCAGTTCCTTTGAAGAATAGTTTGACTCCCTCTTCTTTGGGGCAGCCCCTGAGATATTGGAAGACTGCTATCATGTCACCCCTTGTCCTTCTTTTCTTCAAATTAGACATACCCAATTCCAGCAACTGTTCTTTATATGTTTTAGCCTCCAGTCCCCTAATCATCTTTCCTGTTCTTCTCTGCACTCTTTGCTTTGTTCCTCTCCAGCCCTTGTGTCCAAAGGAGCTTTGGCATTTTGTACATCAGTGTTACGGCAATGAGTTGGGGTTGACGAGCGATGATGAAGACTACGTTCCTCCTGATGAAGATTTCAACACCATGGGGTAAGCTCCTATGCCTGAAGTGTGCCATGAAAACAAGACTGGGAAACTCCAAGATTTAATGCTCACAAACCACAGATATCCTCACTACTCTAGAGCGGTGTTAGTCAACCTTTATAACTTTAAGCTGAGCAGACTTCAACTCCCAGAATTCCCCAGCCAGAATTGCAGAAGACCTTATCATTATCTCCCATCCTCTAAGATACTTTAAGCCCATGACAGATGTGAAAAAGTATGTAAATGTTCTGGAGTGAAATTTGGCTAGAGAATGGGTATGTCAACGTAAAAGAAAAGGTGATAATTGAAGCTTCTCTTTGGAGGTATCAGCTGCACTGTGAGGTGAATGTTTTTATTCCACAAGGTTTGCTCTTCAATGCTTGATAAGAAGACTAACAGTGGGATTGATCCAATTCACCCGGATTTTGCTTATTATTGTTTTTTTAAAGTTACTGTGAGGAGATCCCCGTGGAAGAAAGTGAAGTCAACGACAGCTCCTCCAAAAGTAGCATGGAGGTCAAAGCTGAAGTGAGCCCTCAGCTTCCCAAGAAGTCTCTTACCAACAGCAGCACGTTGACTCCTACAACAAACAATGAAGCTCCAATCCCAGTAGGTTGTTGTTGTTGTTGTTGTTGTTCTTCTTCTTCTTCTTCTTCTTC